TTTTTAACAAGATGGTAATACTGGGCCCAAAGAAGTATATCAGAGGCAGAAAAGCAGGAGTTACTCAAAAAGTACATACGTCCGTCAATTCTAGAAGCACCGATTTTAAACCCAGAAATTGCAGCTTCAATAGGAGAATACACAAAGAAAAGAGATATGTATAGAAAGGAAGCACAAAAGTTAGCAGGATCAGCCCTGGTGGCTTTAAGTGCAGCTATTACTAGCTGTGCAAAAGAGGAGAGCATAGATAAACTAGATTTTTTAGAAAAGCTATTTGATGCAGCTAAGTTATTGTCAGATCTACACTATAATCAAACACAATGTAGAAAATCGGTCATAATGCCGGGGCTATCTAGGGAGGTCAAAGAAGTCTTAAAAACTACGATATCTGACAAATATCTTTTTGGCGAAGACTTAGCAGATAAAATAAGAAATGCAAAGTCCTTAGAAAAGATGGCCCCAACTTTAAGGGTCCAGCCTCAAAATGCCACACAAATCCCATCATCAAGGCAGAATTTAAACTCAAGAGGCCCTCTGGGGATAAGGCCTTACCCAAGACATGGGGGCAATATGTATGCACCAGGACAGGCCAAACAAAGAAAAAAGAGGCGCTTATAGACCTTATAGAGGTGATATAAAAAACGAGACAGTCCAATATCTGAATTTGCAACACTTATTGGAAAACTAGTGGCAGCTTGCCCAGCAATAGAATATGGCTGGCTATATATAAAAAACCTTGAAAGGGAAAAGTTAATAGCATTAATGGTCAATGATGGAGACTATAACCAAAAAATGCTAATACCTAGACACATCTTACAGGATTTAAATAGGTGGAAGTCCGGATTAAAATCGGCATATAGTAAAATCAAAAGAGATACATTCAATCTAACAATATTTACAGACGCATCAGATACAGGATGGGGTGCTACAGACGGGTGTCAACAGACACATGGTTATTGGAACAAAAGTCAGAAAGCTCGTCACATAAATTATAAAGAACTTTTAGCAGTGGAATGCCTTAGAGGAATTAGCTGCAGCAAGCAAAGTCTTGCAAAATCTTATTAAGAATAGATAACTCAACAGCGATCGCGTATATAAATAATATGGGAAGCGTTAGGTTCCCAGAACTTAATAATCTAGCAAGAAATATTTGGTAATGGGCAGAAACTAGACGAAATTTTTTAATGGCTTCATATATATCATCAAAACAAAATAAGGAAGCTGACGAGCTTTTAAGACTAACGAATGAAGATACCGAATGGGAGTTAACAAACTGGGCATTCCGAAAAATTGTCAGTGCGTTCGGAAAACTCGAGGTGGATTTATTTGTGACACCGGCAAACAAAAAATGTGAGGTCTTTGTGACCAGATATCCTGTACCTGATGCAGTACAAGTAGATGCATTTACCATGAATTGGTCCAATTTATATTTCTATGCTTTTCCACCATTTGCAATAATACTAAAAGTGCTAAGAAAAATTAGAAACGACAAAGCTACAGGAATTTTAATTGTTCCAAATTGGCCAACACAGCCGTGGTTTTCCTTATTCACAGAATTACTAATAAGCAAACCACTAAATCTTAGATCGAACAATAACTTATTATTATCCATATGCAGGAACAGGGAACATCCACAAGGCAAACATATAAGTTTGATGGCAGGAAGTATCGGCCAGGCATTTTTAAAAAGAAAAGTACCCAACAAAGCAATAGATATTCTGCTAGCGTCGTTATCTGAATCAACACTTACACAATATGAATCTGCGTTAAAGATATGGTGGTTATTCTGTGAAAATTCAAGAGAAAGGTTTTTCAACCCATCAATAGAAAAAGTCCTCAGTTTCTTAATAAACAGTTTCGAAAATGGAGCATCATATGCTACATTAAACACTTATCGTAGTGCAATTTCTTTGATATTAAATAATAAAATAGGAGGAAATGAACTTATATGTAGATTTTTAAAAGGAATGTTTAACAGAAAACCACAAACACCTAAATACTCACATATATGGGACGTAACAAGGATATTAGAGTACTTAGAAAAACTATATCCGTTAGAAAGGCTTTCATTTATTCAACTAACAGAAAAGACAGTTGCCTTGTTAGCATTATGTACAGCTCACAGAGCACAAACTCTAGCCTCCATAAAAATAACAAATATTTACAAGACAGGAAACAATATTCATATAAAAATAGAAGACAGAATTAAAACTTCTGGGCCAGGAAGATTTCAACCCTTGCTCGTACTCCTTGAATTTAAAGAAAAGCCGAGCTTGTGCGTCGCAACAACTCTTAATAGATATCTACAAATTACACAAAGCTTACGAGGCCAAGAAAGCAACTTATTTATAGCCATAAAGAAGCCATTTGTAGCAGTAGGATCACAAACAATAGCAAGATGGATCAAAAAAGTCCTCCAAAAAAGTGGCATAGATGTTTCAAATTTTAAAGCCCATTCTAAAGGCACACGGTTACCTCTGCAGCATATCTAAAAGGCATAAGTTTTGACACTATTAGAAGAACAGCGGGCTGGACGGAAAAATCGAAAGTCTTCGTTAAATTCTATAATAGACCTATCGTAGAAGAAGAAAGTATATTAGCAAATGCGGTATTAGGAAATAGAAAATGATATAAAAATGTAAAAAAAAAAAAAAAGACGATTTTAGGTTTCTTTTCTTCTTTTTTCTCTCTCTTCTTCTCGTTTCTTCTCTTCTATACTTGCCTTCCAGAATATAAATGCACATATAGCAGAGTTACATCACAAAAAAAAAAAATTGCTGCCTCTCTAAAGAACTACACGGTAATCTGAAGAACGAGGCGCGAAATAGAATTGAACAGTCGAGCGAACTTACCTGTAAGTGAAGTTCGGCTGCAATTATATGAGAGCCTCGTTCGAAAGATTACAGTCCCTCCCAGTTAATTTCAAATGAAAGTTACCTAACCCAAAATACCCCATACAGCAATTTTTTGAAAAAACTACTCTAAAGAATATGAAGATGATACGCAGGAGGTCAGGGGGCGTAAGCGGTTGTTTATCATCTCCAAAACCGATGTGACACCTCGCGGCTCGAGAGGAGTACTACACGGTAATCTTTCGAACGAGGCTCTCATATAATTGCAGCTGAACTTCACTTACAGGTAAGTTCGCTCGACTGTTCAATTATGAGATTATTTTATGAGGTACCACAGATAGCTCATATTGAATTGTAAAGTTCAAGATTCAAAAGTTCTTTGATCAAGGAAAACATCGAAAAGGAGAAAGCGATAGAGAGCGATGAAATCTACAGAGATTCTCATCGTTTTCTATCGCAATTTATCGTTTTGCTGCACCGGATCCGAAAGAAATGATATCGCGTAAAGATAGAGTACGATGAACACTTTTCATCATACTCTATTATACTCTATCGTTAGGAGAATATTTAATTGTTAGAGTATGATAGAATTCGCGTAGAGACTCATCGTGTCCTATCGTTTTATTCAAGTCTACACGGAAAATATGTTCGGTTGAATGAACCTATTTTCTGACGAAATGAGAGAGAGAGAGAGAACGATTAAGAAATTTTGATTGAGAATAGCACAATTTTGTTTAAGTTAACCATAAACCTTGATGAATTAGATTCAGTGTTAATATTTTCAGTTAATATTTCTCTATATCGTTCATATTTCATTTGTAAGCTGTATCATGGACCAAACATTTTTACCATATATCATGCATAAATTGTTGTCTTATATCGTAATTCTTGTCAGTGGTATATTAACGACAGAAGAAACTGAAAGTTCTGTATCGTACAATTGCGAAAAGAGGACCATCATTGTCAATGGTGCACCAACGATACTCGGCATAAAATTGATTCCTAGGTATAATCGCGATACAACGCAAATCCGAGTGTGTTATTTTGACACGTTATTTTTATGCGTGTCAAAATAACACACTCGGATTTGCGTTGTATCGCGATTATACCTAGGAATCAATTTTATGCCGAGTATCGTTGGTGCACCATTGACAATGATGGTCCTCTTTTCGCAATTGTACGATACAGAACTTTCAGTTTCTTCTGTCGTTAATATACCACTGACAAGAATTACGATATAAGACAACAATTCATGCATGATATATGGTAAAAATGTTTGGTCCATGATACAGCTTACAAATGAAATATAAACGATATAGAGAAATATTAACTGAAAATATTAACACTGAATCTAATTCATCAAGGTTTATGGTTAACTTAAACAAAATTGTGCTATTCTCAATCAAAATTTCTTAATCGTTCTCTCTCTCTCTCTCATTTCGTCAGAAAATAGGTTCATTCAACCGAACATATTTTCCGTGTAGACTTGAATAAAACGATAGGACACGATGAGTCTCTACGCGAATTCTATCATACTCTAACAATTAAATATTCTCCTAACGATAGAGTACAATAGAGTACGATGAAAAGTGTTCATCGTACTCTATCTTTACGCGATATCATTTCTTTCGGATCCAATGCAGCAAAACGATAGATTGCGATAGAAAACGATGAGAATCTCTGTAGATCTCATCGCTCTCTATCTCTTTCTCCTTTTCGATGTTTTCCTTGATCAAAGAACTTTTGAATCTTGAACTTTACAATTCAATATGAGCTATCTGTGGTACCTCATAAAATAATCTTATAATTGTAATCGCGAATATTCAGCGGCCATATCGGCGCGAGCTTAGACGCGGTGCGGCGGGATGCAGGAGCGGCGAGGTAAGGACATAAACATTGGCGCGTCGTCTTTCCTCTCGCCGCGCGCCGGCAACAGTTCCTTTGTCGACTGGGCAGTGCTCTTTAGCCTGAGCGGCTAGATGCTCCTCCTATAACGTCTCGACGTGCACTCATTCCTCAGATTTCTGTCATTAATAACTCGATAATTATTGCGAATCTCACAACACGATATGGGACTTTTATATTTATCTTAACCCACTCTATGTCTCCACGAGCTCTGCCAGATTAGTTATAAGACACCCTGTATACCTGGAACATCAAACCAGATCCGACCACCAATAAAAATCCGATGTAAATCGCGCAGCGTGTTGTTACACTGTGAAATGGCCACAGACCGGTGATACTCAGTAAAACGCGAATAATATTGTAATGCGATTCTCGAAAGAACTTGTCAGCACTATCCATCTTGCGTCGTATCTAACGTTGTCGCTTTTCAACAGTAAAATTCATTTCACTTGGGGTATAGATTACGTCTCGGTCGTTTATAAAAAATTCCGTTTCAACTTTGACTTCCGTGCTTTGTAGGATACGTGCAGTTACTGTTACGTTTGCATTACTAAACCAGCGGGAGAAATTGTTTTACGATCAATAACATAATAATAAGCATTTCTTTATAGACAGGCCGTTTATTGACCAGAAATTGAAAGCTACATGGTTGGAATTGCGCGGTAGTACTTTGATAGTTCATAGAAGACTTTTATATGAGACCGTTGAGGTAGTGAATTATCGTTGTAAGACGTTGCGTTATGAATTCACGATACTGCTACAATTTTCTTTCTTTCTATTTCACTGGAGCTTTTTTAACTTCATTAGAAGATCAAAGTCTCGTGATGACTGTCAAAGTCTCAAAGATGCCCCATTTGAACCGCTTTAATCAACATCGTTATAAAAATTTTTTTATTTCGTTCAATTTATTTGTCAGATATATGCATCTTCTTTATTGTAAAGTACATGGAGTTATCTATTATAAAAATGTTTCGTAACATTCATATTTTATGCAAATGTCAGCCACACGTAACTATTTAACAAAAATAATAAATAGTTCTATAAAGTTATTGGTTGTTTTTCATGACTACTAGGTGCGCAACTAAGTTTTCGGGTTTCACACATGAGTGGCGCTAACGACACATGTAGTCGACATACATGTCTGAAATTGTATTTTTTTTTATAGCTTGGACATTTGTTAACAAGAACCAGTCGTAATACCAACACATATCGCAACACAAAAATATTTTTTCTAACAACGAAAATGTCGAGTTTTGTGCTAAATAAACAGCATTTGCGGGAAGCTTTGCTTTTCTGCTTTAACTTGAAAAAAAGTGCAACTGAAGCACGTCGTTTGCTTGAGGAGGCCTACGGCGAACATGTACCATCGAAAACTACCTGTGAAGATTGGTTTAAACACTTCAGAAGTGGCGATTTCGACACTGAGGACAAGAAACGCTCCGGAAGATTAAAAACAATTGAGGACGCCGATCTGCAAGCGTTATTGGATGAAGATGATACGCAAACACATGATCAATTTGAGAAGGCATTAAACATGACTCGCCAAGGTATTTCCAAACGTTTACATGCCATGGGAAAAATTCAATAGGAAAGAAAATGGGTGCCGCATGAGTTGACTGAGAGACAGATGGAAAATCGAAGAGTCACTTCCGAAATTTTGCTTTTGCAGCATGAAAGAAAGAGTTTCCTGCATCGAATTGTTACTGGCGATGAGAAGTGGATATATTTCGAGAATCCTAAATGCAAAAAATCGTGGCTTTCGCCTGGCGAAGCATCAACATTGATGGCACGGCCAAATCGCTTCGGAAAGAAGACAATGCTCTGCGTTTGGTGGGACCAGAAAGGAATCGTATACTATGAGCTGCTGAAACCAAGCGGGCGAAACTGTCAACGGGCATCACTATCGACAACAACTGATCAGTTTGAATCATGCATTGCTCAAAAAACGACCAGAATGGGACACGAGATACGAACGAGTGATATTGCAGCACAACAACGCTCCGTGCCATCGCACTTCCATCGTCCAGGACACCATCAAAATGCTGAAATGGGGTCTGCTACCGCACCCACCGTATTTGCCAGACCTGGCCCCTTCCGATTATCACTTGTTCCGGTCGATGGCGCATGGCTTGGCTGGGTAACATTTGGCCAATTTCGAAGAAGTGCAAAATTGATTGGATGAATGGTCTCGGTCCAAATACGCGTCGTTTTATCGTCGCGGTATTCATGTATTGCCAGAGAAATAGCAAAAATGTGTAGTTAGCGAGGGACGATACTTTGAATAAACCATTTTTTCTATCTCTCTTGAAATTTTCCATTTTTCATTGATAAAAGAAACCCGGAAATTTAGTTGCACACCTAGTAATATAAGCATTAGGTTATTAAATATGAAATGTGTATGTGTTCGATTTCAAATAAAAAATTTGGTTTGTTATATCTCAAATGAAAAATAGTATAATTAATCAAAGTATGCGCCTAAACTATCGACACAGTTCTGCCATCTTAACGATAGCTTATTTATGTCAACAGCGAAGAAGCCTGAAAAGTGGGTGGCGATGAAATCGCGGAAGGTGTTTTCCAAGGCTTGTTAAGAATAGAATATTTTTCCTTCCAAGAAATGATCCAGTGTTTGGAAGAAATAGTAGTCAGTTGGTGCAATGTCTGGTGAATACGGTAGGTAACAGAGAGTTTCCAAGTCCAGCTCCTGTAGTTTGAGCAGCGCTGTTTGTGCGACATGTAATCTTGTAAGAGGATTGACTAATCTCGACTGCTTAATCGCAAGCATCCTCATCATTTCGTCCAGTTGATTACAGTAAACATTCGCTGCAACCAATTGACTAGGTTCATGAAGCTGTAATGGATTACCAGTGCTGGACTGTTAAGTAAATACCATTAGCTTTCTGTTATGAATATTCAGTTTTGGACTATATTTCGGCACTTCATCCATATCCAACCATTGTGCCGAATGTTTGCGATTGTCGAAAAGAATCATATGTAACAATACGATGTAAAAATGGTTCACATTTATGTCGTGATAGTAAAGAAAGGTAAGCTTCGAGACGATTTCTCTTCTGATGCTCTCTTCTGATGTTTAATTCATATGGAACCCATCTATCCGGCTTCTTTACCATGCCGATTTGTTTCAAATGATCCAATATTGTTGGAATAGTAACGTTAAATCTTGCTGCTAATTCACGTATAGCTGAAGATGTATCCGCTTCCATTATAGCTTTTAGTTCATTATTATCTACCTTGGCCTCAGGTCATTCATTTCCTAGATTAAAATCTCCAAAACGAAACTTCTTAAATCATTGATGTACTGCGCGTTCATTAGCCACATCTTCACAAAACACTTTGTTGATATTTCAAGTTGTCTGCGCTACATTGGTTCCACGACGGAACTCATATTTGAAAATACGAACTTTTGACTTATATATGGTTATATAAAAATTGCTGTAATAAAGACAACTCGAAAGATAATCACAAACCAAAACATGCGTTTGAAAGAGTGATGGTATACTTTCACAACCAAAAAACCTAAGGACTGTAAAAGTGAAATATTAGAAATGTCAACTGTCGAACTTAATACTTAAGAAAATCGGACATTTTATATTTAACGACTTAATACATTCTTTTGGAGATAGTTCTGCTTATAACGTATACATATGCAATATTATCCAATTAGAAAACATCATCACATTTTTTATATAAAATAATAATGAGGCGTGGTATTTTAAATGATTTAAAAGTGATGCATGCCATTTATGTAACTTTTTATCTAGTTTTATTAAATTATATGTACAAAATTCATTTGAGATATGCCAAACGATCATTCGGAACACGATGTTTATTTCCTACTGATTGAACTATTGGGGACTTGAATAAGTTCTCACTGTTCTTTCGTGAAAATGGATGCTTTATTTAAAAAAATTAGTAAAGAACATGTCATTGAAAGTATTGTGCATTGCTAGCCACTACTTTCTCCCATCTTTCTGGCAGCATACGAATACCATGTCGAAAGAACGACTCATCTTTTGAGGTTATCCACGAATCGAACAATTTTTTGGCATCTTCATAAGAATGGAAGTGCTGCTCAGCCAGGCCATGAGTCATCGATCGGAACAAATGGTAATCGAAAGGAGCAATGTCCGGTGAATACGGCGGGTGGGGTAGGACTTCCCATTTGAGCGTTTCCAAGTAGGTTTTGACCGGTTTTGTAACATGTGGCCGAGCGTTGTAATGCTGCAAAATTATTTTGTCGTGTCTCTCCTCGTATTGCGGCCGTTTTTCCTTCAATGCTCGGCTCAAACGCATCAATTGTAGTCGATAGTGATCTTCCGTGATGGTTTCGTTGCGTTTGAGGAGCTCATAATATACTACGCCCAGCAGATCCTACTAAATACAGAGCATGAGCTTGGACTCATAGATATTCGGCTTTGCCGTCGATGTTGATGCATGGCCGGGCTTATCCCATGATTTTCTACGTTTCGGATTATCGTAGTGTATCCACTTTTCATCGTCAGTCACGATACGATGCAAAAAACCTTTCCTTTTCTACCGTTGGAGTAGCTATTCACACGTGAAAAAACGTCGTTCGATGTTTCAATTCGGCTCTCGGCTTCAATTCGTACGGCACCCAATTTCCTTGCTTTTGAATCATTCCTAATGCTTTTAAATGTTTGGCAACTGTTGTGTGATCAACTCCTAATGATTTTGCAAGTTTATATTTATTGCATCTGACATGGGACTTCATCGAGTAATACTTCCAATTCTTCGTCTTCAAACTTTTTCGGTGCGCCAGAGCGTTCTTTAACTTCAACATCAAAATCATTATTTCTAAAGCGTCTCAATCTCTACATGTTGTTTTCGATAGAGCATGGTCGCCGTAAGTCTCCACAAGAATTCTATGTGCTTTAGCTGCAGATTTCTTTTTAAAAAAGTAATGCAGTAAAATTCCCCGCAAATACTCTTTTTTGGCACGAAATTCGACATGTTTAATGCTATGAAAAATATGTTATTTACGTTGCGGCGGAATAACATATACTGTCACTTCGAGCATAATGGTGGAGCTTCACGATAAAGTTGGCAATAGTATTGCCCGATGCAAAAAGGTTAAGATAACACCCCTTCCCGTGGGCGCCACCTTGTCGTGGTGGGGGGGCTTGCATGCCCTGATGATGTACAGAGTTGTGCCGGCAGGGGCTTCGGCCCCTGGCAGGTTCTACCATGCCGGAGAGGTCTGTACAGAAGGGCCAGACTAAGAGCGTCCATAATACTCCTGGATGGGCAGCTGCCTCCAGGTTTTATCCAGGGTCTGGAGGGTCTCATTCGTGGGGCCCAAAGGACCCTACAGCGCGGGCAGAGCGGGCTCGTTAGCCTTGGCGGGCAACCGGTCTAGGGGAAGGAAAACCCCGAAATCACACCAGTGTTGCAGGGGC